AATAATATATATATATATATATATATATATATATATATATATTTCCTTTGTTGTTTCTCTCTTCTTTGTGTGTATCTTTTTCATATGGTGTAAGCATTTAATAATTACAGTATAATTACCGTATAATTTATCATTTATGTAAGAGGTGCTCAAATAAGCCTCTCATCTTATTTATTTCGTTGCTATAACATGTATTAAGCCTCTTTCTCTCTCTCTCTAATATTAGTAAGTAACCATTGATGTATATAATTCTATTTTTTGATATAAAAAAGAAAAATAAAACAATTTGTATGTGATTAATCCTTTATAATTTTATGATTTAACTAATGAGTGATGGCAATGGCATTGAAAAACAGCAAGAATTTTTAGTGCATTCAATGTTCCTACACATCAAGCCTCAAACACTACCGTAGTTTGTGATATGTTTTGTCTAAATTCAATTTTTAGATTCGTACAGGGAAGGACATGTTTTTTCTTTTTTGTCACAACGTAGCAAGTCAGAACAAAACCAGCTTAAAAGCTTGGCAAGGAATAAACGCAAATTCACTCAGAGGACCCTAGAATTTATACCAATCTCCCTTCTCACTCCTCACAGCCACCGAAAAGCTTGCATGAAATAAAAAGAAAGGTAGAAGAAGAAATGGCAGAGAAACGTTTGAGCTTTTAGAGAGTGAGGAAGTTTCTTTTATGTCGTGTCGTTCTCTCCTCTGCTTGCTGAACTAGACTGGACTGGACTCTGCTGCTTGGTAGTTATGCCATTAAACTCCTCTACAGAGTCACGTGGAACCCGAGAAAGGGACTCCTTTGCTCCCATGGTTGCGCAGCTCCAAGCCTCCAAGTTTCATAAATGAAAGTAAGAACTAGGGTGCATTGTCTTTGTTTGTGGATTAATAAGATCAGAGTTGCTAAAGTCCTCACTCGCCTCTGTCAATCAAAGAACAAATATTGTTTTAAGAGCAAGGCTATGGTGATCATGAAACCCTTTATAAAGAATAGAGACATCAAAATAACTTCTTGAAGTTGTATTTAATTACAATCATGTTATTGGTTCTTCTCGACTTCTCCTCGTGATGGATAATTTAGAAGGGAGATTTTTGTTAATTTTGGCCTAATATTATAAATTGTTTGTTGGGAAAACTAGGAATAACTGGATACTAATTTACTATAAATTGTTGAGAAAACTAGGAATAACTGGATACTAATTTACCCGGATTATAATTCAACGGAATATAAATCTCAATCATTTTTCCTCTATATGCAGTAAAACAGAAAAAAATAATAACCAAATATAATATAAATACTCACACAAATTAATACCAAGATTTTTAATGTGGAAAACCCGATGCGAGAAAAACCACTGGTACTGTAGTCCACCTAAAAACTTTCACTATCCGAGAAAAACCACTAGTACTGTAGACCACCTAAAAACTTTCACTATCAACAAATAATGAGTTCAGAATCATTCTTCCTCAGATTCAACTAAGGGATACAACATATATATCATCAAGAACA